CATTGCGGTCCAATTTTATCTTGTAGACAGTCTGCGTTATCTAAAGAAACGTTATCTTTTTAATATAAAATAACATTTTATTTTATTAGTCTAAAAAATTAGCGGATAAAGATATGATTATTTTTATTTAATATTTGTATTTATCACTGATTTATCACTGATATTTTTAATTACCTAGTTCTATATTCCGCTCAATACGAGACGTAGCACTCACGACGGTATGTTCATCATAAAATAATTTTTGACATGTTATCTTTGGCCAAAAGTAAAATCTACCGTTGATATCCCAATCTTGTTTGTAATTTAAAAATATCTTTTCTCAAAGCTTCTAAAACATGACATGAAGTATATTATATACATAAATTAATAAATTTATTGGAAAATGTATAGAACTGTTGTGTATGATAAGTTTCATGGTATGCAATAGTTGATATTAAGAAATATTATAATTTAATTAAAGAATTTAAGAAAGTAAGATATTCTCACCATTTTTAGGACATTGACGAACATTCGCTATCGCCCATAAAGGGTTAGAAATAGTTCTAGTCAGTTTTGGAATTAATTGAATTATTACTGATCTATAATTATTCGCTGAAAAATTGCTTTTAATTTTAACAGATTGCCACATAGGTAAATCATAATCTTTAGCTTTTAATGAGCCTTTTACTGTAATCATTTCTAACGTTTCATGTGTCGTGGAATCTCGCAACAATATATGTGCATTACATTCCTTACATAGACCAATTAATAACTGTATGCATATTGGTTCATTATTAAATTGAAAGACAGGACTTAATAAAGTTGCGGTCTCGACATTTGTATGCAGAAAATTGTCTGAAATATGTATAAAATTATTTTCTTATTAATCAATTAATGATAAACTTGAAATAATTTTGCTTGATAGAAATTTCTTTTTAGAATCTGCACTTACAGGTATGAAATCGAAACAACATCTTTGTAGGGCTTCTGATGAACATATGATAATCATAGTTTGAATGTTTGTCCCTTTCCATGTCGCTATATGACATAATGATTTCATCAGTATCATCGCTATATGACATAATGATTTCATCAGTATCATAGATTTCTATTCTTCGAAATATAGCATCCCATGAGAGAATGAACGATCGCCATTCATTTTCAGACAATGGTGTATGCTGTATTGATTATTAATTTTAAATGCAGCATGGAAATTCTTACATCAATTTTTTATGGATAAATTTTTTGAAATTTTTTATTCTTAAAACAAGGACATAAATAATAATGTACGTAAAAATTCTAAATTGTTTATTTAAAATATGTTCAAAAAATCGTTTTGACTGTTGTAATGTGAAAAAGCAGTGATAAGGCTTTAAATAAGAAAAGTATAATATGCACTTAGTTACTTTGTATTTAACTTTTGCTTTGTCGCATTCTGAACCTGAAATCGGCCATTTTCCAGGTTCAGGCACTCCATTCGCACATTTTCGTATAACAGACAATGTATTTCCCCAACCGCCTATTATGATCCAATAGCAATAATCCTTATTATAATTTGGACCATTGCAAATTAATATATGTGCGTCACGAGATGTACGAACCGAAAAAGAGAGTGTTAAAGTAATAGGAAGTTGTCTTATATAATCATAAGCATCTTCAAAATTTTTATATTCTTTAAATTCTGAAAATTGTAAGCAAATATTATTTAAAACTATTCTAAAGATATATTT